TCCCTGTTAGTGTCCTGCCATTACAACAGTACTTTAAGAGTTTGCCCACAGAAGAGTGTATTGTAAAATTTGTCTTTGTTTTGAAAGTACATTTTACAATCTGCGGTCTTTCAGAAACTTATATCATTTTTTTCTAATGGCCCAACGGATATGCAGAATTAGTGGCCAAAGTGTGTTGAGCTATCTAATAAATAAGTAATGCGATAAAATACGGAGTACGAAAAGGAGCCTTTTATTCCGGTCTGAACATGACAATGACAAGAGTAAGAGAGGTTACAGCAGCTACCGCTAGGTGGCAGTAGAAGCTTTATTGCCTCATTACAACAAAATGTGCTAAGTTGCTTTGTCAACGCTGCGAATGCTTCTTGTTTTCATAACGAATACTTTTTGATGATGCTCTTCTGCAGGCAAGCTTTTCAATTCCTCCATGAATTTGACACTATCTCTCTGCAACTCGTTTTTGAGATCAGTAAACTTTAAATTATTCTGATTCTTAAAATATATCATGTTCTCGTAGAACTCTAAATGCCACCTGTCTAGTCATTAAAACGTAAATATGTATTTTTAAGTATTTTTTACTTGTTTTTTATACTTTTTGTTACTTGATCTTCATTAATAAATCGTGTTTTGAGTTTTGAAGCTATGCAGTTCGTTAATTTCCTTTAAAAAGTCACCCTCCTTCTGGATGAAATAGTAAGCTTGTTATATTATTATATTCCATTTTAAGAAACTGCCTTAGAGAAGGGTGATTTTATTCTTACCTATATGGATTAGTACCAGGGTGTCCCTCAACTGGACTACATTTTTCAGTAAGGAACCACTGTCTCTGGTTCTTCCACTGAAGGACACATTTACGTGAAGAAACCAATAGCACAAGTTTTGTTTCCAAACTAAGCCAGAATTAGTAGAGCCCTAATGCAGAATTTAGTTAAGTCATGTCATTAGATACGTTGAACCCAAAAAAAATCGATCTTCATCAGAAATTTGTAGCAGAATGATATAATGAAGACAATGTTATTATGTATACACATAGTACTTAACAAGGTGGAGAAATGGTGCTGGGTCCACACCATTTCGCGAGGAAACAAAGCCAAGAAATTCCAAAAATTAATCATTATTTATCATTAATCATTAATTAATTAATCATTTCTTATCATTCATAGTACTTAATTTAAGTTATTTCTGAAAATTTCAAGGAAAAATATCGATAACTTTCCTCAAAAATAAACATACTATCGAATAAAATTTAGCAACTCTCGAATGTTCATACGGCGTTCTTCCTTGGCACGGAAGTGATGATACTTCCAACTGATACCACGCATCAGTTGAGATCATTTCGACTGATCCGAGCTCTATTGATGCTCTGCGCTAAAGCACTGTTGTCGAACTGACGCAATGTCTATACTGATCAGTTTTAACAGGGGATCAACTCTCTCTGTAAATGAACTGTATGCCGCCGTGCTACGGGAAAACGCCGCATAAGCCTCTGGGTGTTGCCAAATTTTCTTTGATAGAGCACGAATTTCCCGGTGAACTCATGAATATTTCTCCTCCAATCTTGCAGATAATTTTGTTCGCAATTTCACCTGAAGTTCCTGAAAATATCGAGGAAAAAAATTCATAACTTCCTGCAAAAAGAAACGTTTCACCCAGAGAAACTTGACAACTCTCAAATGTAAATACGGCGTTCTCCCTCAGCACGGCAGACAGGGCTCGCGTGGAAATTAAGCCTCGGCTTTTCGCCGGTGAAACAGTTGTCAGATTGTGCGATAAAATGTGGATATTTTACACGCGCTCAAACTGGGAAAAGTGCTGATTTTTCAGCACAATCTGAGGATTTGGTTCAAAATTTAAAGCCGTAAATTTGGATTGTTTCTCACGGAAGAGATGAATTAAGAGCGGAAATTTTGAAACACCGCAGTGGAGATACGTGGTTTCGCACTTCAGTCGGACCGATACGGACATCCAACAAGCTTAAATAGTTGCATCAAGTCCCCGTCACCGCCGACCAACGCGTTTGTCGATCGAATCAACTACAGGTAGTGTGAGCAGGGAGTCAAAACGCCTTCAATTTTTTGAACGCAATACGGACATCCGTCGAGGTTGTATAGTTGTATCAAGGCGCCGTAGCAATCGCGTCCCATTGTTAATCGTTACAGACGAATATAAGATGAGAGAGGCCAGTCATAATGCCTTCAATTTTATAGTCACATATATTTGGGCAAAATGGGAGACGACGTTTCTCCATTCGCGACGTTGCAGACTTCCTTAGAAATTTTATTTTTCTTTCGAGAAACTGGTCAACATAAAACTTAAATTCTCCATGATTTTTCGTATTCGATAGCAGAGGATTTGGTTCAAAATTTAAAGTCGTAAGTTTGGATTGTATCTCACGGAAGAGATGAATTAAGAGCGGAAATTTTGAAACACCGCAATGGAGATACGTGGTTTCGCACTTCAGTCGGACCGATACGGACATCCAACAAGCTTAAATAGTTGCATCAAGTCCCCGTCACCGCCGACCAACGCGTTTGTCGATCGAATCAACTACAGGTAGTGTGAGCAGGGAGTCAAAACGCCTTCAATTTTTTGAACGCAATACGGACATCCGTCGAGGTTGTATAGTTGTATCAAGGCGCCGTAGCAATCGCGTCCCATTGTTAATCGTTACAGACGAATATAAGATGAGAGAGGCCAGTCATAATGCCTTCAATTTTATAGTCACATATATTTGGGCAAAATGAGAGACGACGTTTCTCCATTCGCAACGTTGCAGACTTCCTTAGAAATTTTATTTTTCTTTCGAGAAACTGGTCAACATAAAACTTAAATTCTCCATGATTTTTCGTATTCGATAGCAGAGCCTGGCAACTGAGCAATGTAGCGACGGTTATTCCGTCCGGGAGCTGTTGCTCATCGATTTGGAGGCATCAACTATCGATATATACCTCTGCACCCCCCACTTTATTTCTACCGTGCTATGGAAGAACGCCGTATGAGGCTTCGAACATTGCCTAATTTCCTTTGATTAAATACGAATTTTCAGGAAAACCAGTGATTTCTTGCCCATCAATTTTTCGGAGAATTTTTTTCGTATCTAGATCTAAATCATCTGAAAAATTTGAAGAGTAAATATTTATAACTCTCCTCGTCAATAACCATTTCATGGGAGGAAAGGCAACTCTCGAATGTTTGCACGGCGTTTATCCTTCTTAGCACGGCGGATTTGTGCTGTATATTGCCGTGCTAAGGAAAAACGCCGTATAAGCCATCAGAAGTTGCCAAATTTCCCCGTATGGAACATTAATTTTTGAGGTACTTGCAATAGGTAATTATCATCGCACAAATAGTGTTTCACGTAATATTTATTGATTAAAAAACATGCATGGATCAATGCTTCCATTCGCGCCTTGTCAGATGGTCCATTATCTGCAGCAATCGCTTTCACTCGCGCTGATCTACGCAGTCTACGCTACAATGTTGGTTGGGCTTTTAAATGATACAACTATTCGGCCTCTGAAGCCGCGCTAGGAAGTATCGTTTCCCAATGAAGGCGTTTTTAGTGCGTCGTCACTCTTCGTCCAAGAATCATCCGAAGCGATCGCAGTTACTCGCTAATCTACACTATTCCGCCGTGCCAAGGAAAAACGCTGTATGTACATTTGAGAGTTGCCGAATTTCCTATGATAAAATGTGTACTTTTGAGGAAAATTATCTTTCCTTTTCTTTGAAATTTTTACACTATTTGGATCAAATTACGAACAAAATTCTCCAAAAAATCTTAAGAAAAATGTTTATAAATATTCCCAAAAATTCGTGATTTATCGAAGGAAATTCGGCAGCGCTGAAAAGCTCGTACGGCGTTTTTCCTTAGCACGGCGGATTTGTGCTGTATATTGCCGTGCTAAGGAAAAACGTCGTATGAGCCATCAGAAGTTGCCAAATTTCCTCTTATGGAACATACATTTTTGAGGAAAGTTCCGACTATTTTTCCTTGAAATTTTCAAATCCTCCTAATCAAATTGCTAGTAAAATCATCTTAAAAACTGGATGGACAACAACCAACAGTTTCCTTGGAAATTCGTATTATATCGAAGGCAATTTGGCAACGCCTGAAGGCTTATACGGTGTTCTTCCGTAGCACGGCAGTATACGGTGGCGCGCAAGACGAGGCCCCTAATCCAACCCAACTTAAATTTCAGCCGCGTGTCACTCAACTGATACAAAACGGCAGAGTATGAAGTCTCACGCTACGGCCCACCGACCTACTACACTTCTGCCAGTCGCTACCTCGCGGCGAGCCTTTCAAGACCCTCACGGGTTGAGCACTCCAGCTCGTCAAATCACGCTCACAAAAATCGCTGAAGTTACGTCCGTGATTTTTTTCCCCCCCAAGTCAAACAGTAATATCTACCCCTCTCTTGACTGAGCTTTCGCGTTTTTGAAGTCAAATTGAAACCGGGTGTCTGCTCTACGGCAACCTGGTGACCCACCTCCTCGGAGTGGCTTTGGTCCAAATTCTTTTCCCGCGTTTTTTTGAGTTTCAAGGAAATCGCCAGCAGGGTGTCCACAAGTCCGGAATTTCCGGAAAGTCCTGAAATAGTACTGATTTTTAAATGGCGGTCCGGAAGTATTGAAAAAGTGCGGATATTTTGCAAGAAGGTTCGGAATTTTTTCCATTTCTTGTCATTTTCTTTTGGTGCTGCTTCGGTCCAAATTCTTTTCCCGCGTTTTTTTAAGTTTCAAGGAAATCGCCAGCAGGGTGTCCACAAGTCCGGAATTTCCGGAAAGTCCGGAAATAGTACTGATTTTTAAATGGCGGTCCGGAAGTATTGAAAAAGTGCGGATATTTTGCAAGAAGGTTCGGAATTTTTTCCATTTCTCGTCATTTCCGTCACAATTCAAGCGAGGAATTCAAATTTTTTAAATTTTTCAAACTTTGTCAAATGGAGGTACCGAAAAAGTTCTAAATTTTTCTGTTGAGGAAGGTACTGGATTTTTTGAAAATGTACTGAAAAAATACTGTAAAAGTACTGATTTTTGGCCAGCCTGTTTTAGTAGACACCCTGGCCAGTTTCTCCCCTCCTCCTCTCCTCTGTGACCTCTAAATTTTTTTAAGGCTTCAGTTAAAATACCGTCCCGATGTCGTCGTCCAGGAGCATGGAACAAAAGACGTGTAAATTCAAGGACCCTCCCTGTAATATTGTGGCGCAAAGATGCTTAGGTACCTGATCTGCGGAGTCGAGCACTGGAGCTGAAATCCAGGCCATGATGCGTGGAAATTGGAGTTTTCAGAGTCTGTAAACACCTTCCCGTGGAATTTTTTACTGAGGATGCTGACCGTAATTTGGTATAAGGTAGTTTTAACATTCGTGCTGATTCTCATCCGGCTGTCAGCGGGCTTGGCGCCGGTCCTGATCACGCTTCACATCAAGAAATGGACGAAAACGGATATCTGTCATCAGAAGTGGGTAAGTCGAGCAGTATATTCATAATTTTGAATTTTATCGAAGCGAAATTAAAACGCAGCCGTATGCCGGAAGTATAACGCAGGGTCGATACAGTCAGGAAGTATCGGGAAATGCCAGGGGATTTTAAAAAGTCAGGGAAAACTTCATGGGAGTAGCTAGGGGGGTCCTGGGGGGGGCCTTCCCCCCAGACATCTCGTGGCCCTCCCCCCAGAAAAACGGGATCTCTCA